AGGGGGTTCATGTATGGCACCAGCTCTGGAGCATTCTTCAGCTTGGCATGAACCATGCATGGCAGCTTGGAAAGACTCACTTGGTGCAGGACCAGACAACCTGGGCCCCAGGGTCCCCAGCTCAGCTACCTCAGAGCCTGGGTATCCACAGGTCTTCATTTGCTCCTCTGGGAAGGTAATTGTGCCACATGGGAATGTTGAGCCTCCTGTCTGACAGTGCTTATGAAAAGGGCTCTTAAAGTTGTGAAACACCCTGCTGATATTTATTTTTGTGGTTGTCTTTGTGTGGAGCCAATGTGCTTAGCTTTTTCCTTTCCCCAGGAAATCTGTCCAGAAGGTGTGAGAGGGTGGCAGGTGTCCAGGCACTGGGCTTCTTACCTGACTTCCAATGCCCCTTCCCTGGCCCTGCTTCCCAGGCATGGACTGGCCTGTAGCCGGGAGGTGGTGGGGCTGCCTCCCAGCCTGGCTCTGGGGACTTTAGGAATGGGGAGCTGCGTGTGCCCGCCCACCCGCTGCCTGCCTGCCTGCTGCAGGGCCTGGAGCCGCCGCTGGGAGAGGAAGTGCAGTCGGTTACCAATCGGGTTATTTTCATAACGGCTGTCTCAGGCCGGGGGGAGGTGGGGGAGGGGGCAGAGGCGCAGCCACCGCAGCTTGAAGCTCTCCAAACTAGGACTTGCTCAGCCAGAGGCCGGCAGCCTGAGCCCAAGCAGAGCAAGGCTTGCCTACCCTGGGGGACCACCGCCCCACCTGATAGCCCACCTCCTGCCTGCCACCCGGCCTTCCAGATCAGGTCAAAAGGGACTCTCCCTCTCTTCCTTCCCTTCCCCTTCTTCCGTCCTGTATCTGCTGGGGTGGGCCTGGGGAGGGGTGGCTCAGGGTGGGTCCAGCAACCACTGTCCTTAGATGAGGATCTCACCGTGCCAGGCCTCTGAAGCTGATGGAAAAGGATCAGGAAAGGACAAGGGGCCAGGAGGCCTGGGGGGTAAACATGACCTGCCTGGCCACCTCCTTTATTTTCGGCCCAGGCCAACCTCCTTCCCTCCCTCAGGACCCTGGGACTGGGATCAGAGAAGCCCAAGGTGGCTTCTGAGCAGCAGCCTCTGGGGAGAGAGTTATAGGCCCTTGCTCTGGGGCTGCTGGCAGGGGTGAGCATGTACCTAGGCCATGCCTATAGCATGCAGTGGGCACTGTGGTGGAATCCTGGGTTCTGGGAGAATCCGTGGCCCAGGCCTGGTACTGGGGGTGGCAGACATTCCTCACAGCATGAATAGACACTCCAGTGGCACTGGCTGCCAGGTTTGGTTCCTCATGTGTTGGGTGGTGGTCACCCTGGCCATTCCTGCTTCCCTTTCATGGGTTCCCACCCCCGCCACGGGCAGAGACAAACCCCAGGAGATGGCACGATCCTCATGTGCCGGTGTCTGTGGCAAGTAATATAGGCCCTGCCCTGCCCCAACTCTACCAGGTACCTTACATCTGTCATCTCATCAGGATCTCTGAACTATATGATCTGACCCCATTTTACAGATGAGAAAACTGAGGCTCAGGAAAGTTCACTAATCTATTTATAAATTTACAAATTTTATAAAATTTAGGATAAATGACAGATGCAGGATTCCAAAGACCTTGGACTTTTTCACATGAAACTAGCAAAATGTGTGGAGGTACTCTGGATTGGGAGGTGAGGGATCCTGCCCTCTCTGACCAGTAGCTGATGAAGTGAGGCGCTCATGCCCGCTCAGCCACCTGCAGCCCCCAACAGCCAGCTGGACATGGATGGGGTCCTAAGTCCCCCGGGCTCCCTGCCAGCAGGCTGAAGGAGAAACAGCCATTTTGCTGGGCCACGGTGTCAGAGGCTGAGGGACCGCCCCCAGTGACCTTTTCATGTCCTGTGTGGTATGTTGGAGGTGACCGAGAGTATGAGGTGGGGAGAGACAGTGCACGGAGCAGGGCTCTGGGAGAGGCCCCGAGGCCAGGCTGGTTGTGTGACCAGACCCCGGAGAAGCCTTAGCACAGATAGGAAGTCAGGAGGCAGGCAGTTACTGACCAGAAGACAGAGGTTTCTATGGCGACCAAGGGAACAGGAAGCATGGGGGTCGGGGGCATCTGGGAGCATTAAGATTCAAGGGGGCCTGGCAGGAGAACTGGCCAGACCCTGTCACATCAGCCAGTCCAGTGGCCTCCTCAGACAAGGAAACGGGAACCTGCAGGTAGACAGCATTGCACATGGCCACAGGACACTGATGGCACCCTGGACAGACGTGGATGCAGGCTGCCAGTACTTGTAAGCCACCCCTGGGCCGTGAGTGCCCATGTGGGTCTGGGGCAGCAGGCAGGCCCACAGAGCCCCTCCCCCACACTGACTGTGGCTTTTTGTTTTCTGGGTGACTAATCTCCTCGGGCCTGGGCAGCTGTCACAGGGCGGCCTGACCAGATGGGCGGGGAAAGCTGACACCGTGGGGGAGCTGGCCAGCCAGTGCCCGGGCAGCAGTGGGCAGGCGGGCCTCCTAGCTCCTCTTCCCTGGATGCCCGACCCTGTCCATATCCAGCCTAGGTAACAGAGCCAAGTCAAGCAGACTTGGGCCAGGCCCCGGCTCTGCCACTGTCTGGCCTGGTGACCTTGGGCATCTTATTGTACCTCCTGAAGCCTCAGTTTCCTCCTCTCTATAATGGGGCTTTTGGACCTACCTAGCTCACAGGGACGGGGTGGGGACTAAATGAGATGGTGGAGTGCTCAGCCCAGAGCCGGAGGAGTGTTCAGCTGCTGGGACCGTTGTGGTCCTTATTAGACTCCTTTCCCTGCCCCGTTCCTTGTGGTCCAAGAGGGAAAGCCGGGGGCATGCTTCACCCTCAGGTAGGCTTGTATTTGGCAGTGGTGCTCTCTGTGCCTCAGTTTCCTCATTAGGATCACAGTGTAATAAATACAGTGCCTGGCCATCAGATGTGGGCTCAGTGAATGTCAGGCATGACACTGAGGATTTTAGGAAGGAACCATGTTCTCCCTGCCTGCTTGACTCTGTCATCCCCGGAGCTCACTGTCCTGCCCATCTGTCCGTCTGCCTGTCATCTGCAGGGACAGGAACCCAGCAGTTTCCAACACTGCTTACTCATGACAGAAGCTAGATACTTCAGCAGAGTTCACCTCTCCCTCAGGTGCCCTGCATTTTCCTGGGTTCCACCCTGAGGCCTCCTGCTCAGACCCACAGGCTGAAATCAAGACAGCAGGTGGGGGGAGGAGGAGGTTTTGGACATGCAGGCCCAGCCTAATCCCAAACACAGTCCCATTGCCGTGGAATCAGTTCTGATTCCTAGTGACCCTACACTGCCGCACAAGGGTCCTTAACTGTCATCTGTACAGAAACAGATTGTCAGGTTGTTGTTCATTTGGAGCCAGATGGTGGGTTTGAACCACTGGCCTTTTGGTTAGCACCTGAGCACTGACCCATTGTTCCACCTGGGCTCCTTCCAAGCATGTTTCAAAACCAAACCCCACTGCCATTGAGTCCGTTCCAACTCACAGTCCCCTCCAGAGCAGAGCAGGACTGCTCCACAGGGCTCCCAAAGCTGAAAGTCTCTATGGAAGCTGACTGCCTCTTCTTTCTTCCGTGAAGTAGCTGGTGGGTTTGAACCACCAACCTGTTAAGTATTGGTTCTGACCTATAGCAACCCTGTATCGAGTTTCCAAGGAGTGGCTGGTGAGCTTGAACCACCGACCTTGCAGTTCAAACCAATCTTGCAGTCCAGTGCATTAACCTGAAGCACCACACCAGGACTCCATTTTTTAGTTAGCAGCCCAGTATGTAACCCACGGTACCCAAGCATGTTAATTCTATCCTAGTATCCCCTCCTGCCCACCCGGCAGGCCCTCAGCAGGCAAAGACATTTCCCCTGTTCGCTGCAGTCAGCTCTGCTCCATGGCTGGTGAGACACGGGGCATCTGTCCCTGGGCCCACTGGATGCCTTGCCACCCTAAGCCATACCAGGCTTCCTGCCCGGCCTCAACCGCAGAGAAAGCTTGAGGATTTAGGACCTTGTGCCACAAGACTTGTGCCAGGGAGCAGGGTGGGATAGATGAGTTGGGTAAAGAAAGGAACAGGTGAAGGAAGGAAGGGTGCTGTGAACAAGGATGTTGCCCAGGGACCCTGCCTTCTGCCCCAGAACAATGTGCTTCAGGGTCAGCTGGGAGAGTTTTGGACCTCACCCAGGCCTCTGACACACAGACTCAACCGTCCTGCGTCTCTATAATTTAGAAAGAAGAGAGATTAGTGCAGAAAAGCAGCCTCATTTAATCTCTTGAGACACTAGTACCTTCACACCTAAAATCCAGGTTTTTTCTTCCCATATAGTCTCCTGGGTGCGGTCCTGGGTGGCCTCTTCCCCAGCCACTCCTCAGTTGGTTGAGGGCCTTATTTTCTTAGTCAGATGGGCTCAGCTCAACCCCCCAACTAGCTCACACACACACACAGGCCTGAGTGCCTTTTCATAGGGCCTCAGTTTATTATCATGACTTGGTTTATGTCGTGTAAACCAGCCCCATTTTATATTGGTGGCAAAGCAAAGGCCCCAAGAAAAGGGAAGACATACCCTCACATACAAGTGTCTGGGGCAACTCAGAGCTGAAACCTAGGCCTCCATCTCCCAGCTTCCTTTTGCTTATCCATCAGCTTCTGGCAGGAGCACTGAGGTCCTTTAGACCCAGTGGGTTTTGTGGACCGTGGTGCCTGGACAGGGAAAACCATAGTGGGTAGCCAAAGCCCCCATCCTACACATTAGTCCTGGGGCAGCCGAGCATCAGCTTCTAACAGCTATAAACGTGGATCCCCACCCCACCCCACCCCTGAGAATTCCCCAGGACTTTTGAGTACCCTGTTTCTGGAGCTGGGAGACCATGGTTGTCTCCTCTGCTCACAGAGAGAGGGGGGCTGGTGCAGGATAGACGGCCACCTGGTCACACTCCTGATGCTCCGGTCTCTGCCCTACAGCCGCCGCCTGGCCCTGCCATGGAGACCTTCTTTAGGAGACACTTCCAGCGGAAGGCGGCTGGCCCTGCAGAGGGGCGGCGGCGGCCCATCCGCGTGGGGCTGCCCACAAGCAAGGCCCAGCGCCGCTCACCTGTCGGCCAGGCCTCCTCCTTGCTGGCCCAGCGGCGTCGCTCCAGCGCACAGCTACAGGGCTGCCTCCTGAGCTGTGGGCTGGGGGCCCAGGGCTCCAGCCGCCGGCGCTCCAGCACTGCGCCCCCAGCCTGCAACCCCCGCTTCACCGTGGACAAGGTGCCCACCCCCCAGGCTGCGGCTGTTGGGGCCCTGCTGCTGGCCAGGCTTGTGGGCATGAAGGAGGAGGAGGAGGGGTCCCATCAGGAGGCCGTGGCATCTGGGGCATCGAACAATACCCAGCCAGGCACCAAGACACCTGGGTCACCTCCTCACCTGGGCGCCCATCCGGTGCTGCCCTTGCCCCGGTATCTGCGCCGACAGCAAGCCTCACACCTGCTTCCAGCCGATGTGGTCTATGACCATGCCTTCTGTGGCCTGCACGGCTACTATCGGCGCCTCAGCCAACGTCGACCCTCAGGCCAGCACCCTGGTTCTGGGGGCCGAAGGGCCTCAGGCACCTCAGCCAACCCCACATTACCCACCCGTGTTCGCCCTCTGTCCCGCAGGCGCCAAGTAGCCCTGCGGCGCAAGTCAGCTGGACCTCAGGCCTGGAGCGCCCTGCTTGCGTAGGTATAGCCAAGGCCAGCAAGGCCAGTGGTGTGGCCCTAGAAGGCCAGGCGGGGACCTGTAGGTGCCGCCCAGGAACAGTGCACTCCAGAAGGGCTGCAAGGGAGCCTGCCAGAGTCCCAGGCTCTTGGGGTCCTCTCTCCTCCCTACTGAGGTCCCTCTTTCAGCCGTGGGTTGAGTGAAGACCCCAGGCTATGGGGGCAGGAAGCAGGCAACAAGTGTTCAGCTGACCCTGGGCCTCAGTTGTCTTCTCTTCTGTAGGAAAGCCATCACCAAGTCGGGCCTCCCACACCTAGCACCCCCTCCACCCACACCCGGGGCCCTGAGCAGCGAGTCCGAGCGGCAGATCCGGAACACTGTAGACTGGAGTGTGAGTGGCGGGGTGCTGGGGTCCTGCCCCTGCTGGGCAGGGGAGTGGCAGGCTTCTGTGGGGAGGGAGATTGCATTTGAATCAAGCCATAAAGAGTGCTGAAAACAAAGACCCTGCAATGTAGATTCTGGTGGGGAGTGGGTGGGAGTGACAAGGTAGGGGCAGACTGGTGGCTTGGCATGAGGCATGCACTGAACATGCTTCTCCATGGTTTAGGAATCGGCAGCATATGGGGAGCACATCTGGTTTGAAACCAATGTGTCAGGGGACTTCTGCTATGTTGGGGAGCAATACTGTGTAGCTAAGATGCTGGTGAGTACGCACTGTGTGGCATGCTGCCCTCTGGTGGTGGAGCTGGGTCTTGAAGCCTCTAGTTAGATCCTGATGGCATGCCACAGCCCTTCCCAGGAAGGTGGTCAGTCCAGGATCAGTCTCTGACCTGAGAGCCCCCCGGTGGGTGGTGAGGGGGCTGGGGGTTTTATCTTGTTGCCGAGAGCCAGGACCGGAGGTTCCCAGTGCCCAGGGGCCACAGTGCCTGCCTGGATGAGAGTACCAGGTGCCTTGGACCCTCACTTTCTTTCCTGCAGCAGAAGTCAGTGTCCAGGAGAAAGTGCGCAGCTTGCAAGATCGTGGTACACACGCCATGCATTGAACAGCTGGAGAAGGTGAGTGACGGCCTAACTTGGCAGAGCCCTCTCAAGATTCCTACAACTGTGTCCCCAGGGTCCACACCATCGCCTGCCAGGGCCCCCACGCACAGAGTGGACAAACCAAAGACTCTGGACCATTTGAATCCTGGCTGCCATTTCTTCGCTGTGAGACCTTGGCAAGTGACTCACCTGTTGGTATTGGTGCTTTCAGGTTGATTCCGACTCACAGCCACCCTCTATGGGTCTCCAAAGAAGAGTTGATGTGTTTGAAGCACCAACCTTGTGGTTAACAGTCCAGCGCTTATCCTATAGCACCACACCAGGACTCTTAACTTTGTTGAGGTCCAGTTTATTTTGGTTGTCGCTTGTGCTTCTGGTATAGTCCTATAGGATAAGCGCAGGACTACAAGGTCAGTTTGAACCACAAGGTCATTGAACCACAAACTCACCGGTTACTCCTTGGAAACCCTCTTCTAGGTCACTGTGGGTCAAAACAGAATTGATGGTACTTAGCCACAAAAACACACCTCTGGTATCCTAGGAAACCATTGCAGGCTGTTGTTGGTTGCATCTGGAACTTCAGCTGCATAGAAAACAGCAGGGTGGCGCCCTCAGAGAGGTCGGCAGTGTTAAGACATCTTATCCAGGGCCTCTTGAAAGGAGACCTTTGGTTGTGTGCCATCAAGTTGGTTCCAACTCACAGCAAGCCTACAGGACAGAGTAGAACTGCCCCTAGGGTTCCTGAGACTGTCATCTAAGCAGATTGCCAGATCTAGCTTGTCTCCCTTGGAGTAACTGGTGGCTTCAAACAGAGTCCTTAAGCACTGTGCCAGCAAACCGTGTGTCATCAAGTCAATTCCAACTCATAGCAACACTTTAGGACAGAGTAGAACTGCTTCTTAGTATTTCTAAGACTGTAAACCTCACAGAGAAAGATGGTGGGTTTGAACCACCAACCTTGTGGTTAACAGTCCAGCTAGTATTTAACCCAATGTGCCACCAGGGCTCCTTAAAGAGAGGGCTGATTCATTGTCTGGCACTGTTAGCACATCGCCTGCTTCTCTCTTGTCCCCTCTGCTAGACCGTGAGCTCCAGAGGCCAAGGGTCCCCAGCGCCTAGAACAGAGCCTGGCACAGAGGTGGGGTTGATTGAATATGAGGCAACTTGAAAAGTTCTTGGAAAATGGAATGAAAGATGAGATTTTTTCCTGAACTTTTTGAAGCCCCTTCATATTGTTTGAAAGGATGGATTAGTGAGCAGTGGCTATGACATCACTTTATCCATGTTCAGAAGCGACCCTTATGTCATTGAGGCTGCTCCTGGGCAGCTGCAAAGCCTGAACTCTGTCCAGGTGCACAGCCTGGTTCTAGAGGGACCGCTGGGCCAGTGGGCAGTGTCTGCTCCAGGCGGGTTTGGGAACACTAGCCATGGACCCTCAGGCCTCCCTGCAGAAACCTGGATGAGCATACAGCTGACTCACAGCTGGTTCCCAGCCCCTGAACATAGAGCAAGGCTTTCCAATTGTTATTCATTGCTGTCAAGTCCACTGTGGCTCATGACAGCCACAGTGCAGAGTAGAACTGCCCCATAGGGTTTTCAAGGCTGTGAGCCCTCAGGAGCAGATCAGCTTTTGAGGTGCCTTTGGGTAAGTTTGAACTGCCGATCTTTCCATTAGTAGTCCAGTATCTAGTCATTTGAGCCACTCAAGGACTCTTAAGACTTTCCTGTAGCCCTTGGAGTAGAGACAATTAGGTGAAATACAGCTCAGGCACTATAGACCCATTAGCACCCCCTGAAGTGAATGAATAGCAACCTTGTGATCACCAAACTAACTAAAGGCTTCCAAGTCAGAAGCCGCCTGCAAGCAGGAGTGAGTCCTAGGGCTCAGGGTGCTGGAGGATGATGAAGAACACACAGAGGAATGAACTGTGATTCCAGCTGAATGGGTGCAAGCTTACCACTCTCCCTCTGCCTGGGATACTGGGCAGAGGAAGGAACAGGGAGGGCTCCCAGGGCAATGTGAAGATGACCCTTGGTAGCCCTTTCTGGCTAGGTGGCCATAGCGTTGACCCCGAGGACAGGTTCTGACATTTTCGTGGTCATTGCAATGTCTCACAGATCAATTTCCGCTGTAAGCCATCCTTCCGGGAATCGGGCTCCAGGAACGTCCGTGAGGTATGTGCCCATGGCGGGTAAGGGCCAGGAGGCCCAGGGCTTCCCAGTGAACCTCTCCGCAGTGCTCCAGAGGGCCACTAGGGGGCTCAGCTCCATCCAGGCCCTTGGAGCCTAGGAGGGGCAGGGTTGAGACTAAGAAGGCCTCACCAAGAGGAGGACTGGCTATTTTCCCTCATACCTCCTAGCTCTCTCAGCCAGATTTTACTCACCTGGGGAAGTCATATCTTTCTCGGAGTCTTAGCTTCCCTCTGGGCCAGAGAGGGGTCTTCAGCCCTCTCAGCTAACACACAGGACCACTGAGAGCTTCCAGGAGCCCCTGTGCCTCACTGTTGACATATTATGGAGGGTGGACCAGGCTCAGGGCTTGTCCCCTCCCCCATGTTTGTCTCTTCTCCTCCACCAGCCCACCTTTGTGCGTCATCATTGGGTACACCGGCGACGCCAGGATGGCAAGTGTCGGCACTGCGGGAAGGTGAGAGGGCAGGGTGGGCAGTGTAGAGGCCGACAGCCCAGTCATTCCAGTGCACTGCAGCCGGGCTATTGGCCCTGGGTTAAGAGGAGAGCAGGGAGGGAGGCCTAGTGACTCCTCTGAAAATCTACAGAACCTGAGCTGCTGACCCCTGGAGGTCAGTACAGACAGGCTGCCCACGTCAGTGGGGTGGTGGTCTCATACAGGACCCCCGCACCCAGCACCGTCAGTAAATGTGAAAGGTTCTGGAAAGAAGGACACTTTCCAAATGTTCAGGCCTGGGGCTCCTGAGGTGGGAGTGAGCCTGGGCTTGTCTCCAGCATGGTACGGGCGCACGTGTGCTCCCAGCATTTTGCGGTGACCTTCAGACAGACCTGGGCCTCTGCTTAAGCACCCCAGCGTCAGGACTTTTTAGATGGTGTTGGTTTGACTTTTAAAACTGGCTCCTATCTCTTGGTGGAGTGAGGCTGGCATGGGGGGAGGAGCTGGGTCTGCTGCTCTAAGCCTGACAGCCAACCAGTGGGTTGCTTTCAGGGCTTCCAGCAGAAGTTCACCTTCCACAGCAAGGAGATTGTGGCCATCAGTTGTTCCTGGTGCAAGCAAGCAGTGAGCTCGCCTTCCCCAGCCCCCTGGGGCTGTACCTGTGACTGGGTGTGGTGCTGGGCAACATCCCGGGGGCCACAGCCTCAGTCTCTCTGCCCCTGCCCTCCTGTCCAGTATCACAGCAAAGTGTCCTGCTTCATGCTGCAGCAGATAGAGGAACCCTGCTCTCTGGGCGTCCACGCAGCTGTGGTCATCCCACCCACCTGGATCCTCCGGGCCCGCAGGCCCCAAGTGAGTCCTACCTGCACACTTGACACTCTCCCATTTAGGGTCTCCCAGCCACCCTGTGTCTCTAATGCCTCTGCTCCCCGTACAGAACACCCTCAAGGCCAGCAAGAAGAAAAAGAGAGCCTCCTTCAAGAGGAAATCGAGCAAGAAAGGGCCTGAGGTTGGACCTGGGCCTGGCAGGTGGTTGCCAGGGGAGCAGGGGGACTGGCTAGTTTAGCCTTTGGGGGTTGGTTTGGATGCTGGGGACCCCGAGGAGGGCAGGTGATCACATCTGTATCCCTGCTCTGTGATGGGCCCTTAGTGGTGGTACGTGAGGGCGGGTGGAGAGGGCAGAGTGTCACCCTGGGGACTGCTGGGAGGGCTTGGGTCCCACAGAACAGGAAGGCCCTTTACTCTCTGTCTCTCAGGAGGGCCGTTGGAGACCCTTCATCATCAGGCCCACCCCATCCCCGCTCATGAAGCCTCTGCTGGTGTTTGTGAACCCCAAGAGTGGAGGAAACCAGGTAGGCCCAACCTCTTCTCCCCACTCTGCTAAGAGGTGTTGCTGGGCCGGACTCCAGCCCACCTCCCAGCAACTCTGCCCAGGCTTCCATTGTAGACATCTGCCTCATTCTCACGTCCATAGGGGTCCTAGAACACCCCACCCTGTGACAATCCTTTCTGGACCTGATTCTATAACCACATCCTTCCCTGCTCACTCCTTCACCCCAACTACCTCTCGCCCAGCTCTAACACCCTCTGCTTCCTGCTCCCCCGCAGGGCGCGAAGATCATCCAGTCCTTCCTCTGGTACCTCAATCCCCGGCAAGTCTTTGACCTCAGCCAGGGAGGGCCCAAAGAGGCGTGAGTACTTGCTAGGTTCTGGGGAGACAGGAGGACTGAGGGGCTGACCTGGCTCTCAGCCATGGCACTGTCTCACCCCCCACCCCCCTGCCTTGTCTTCCTCTTACCCCAGGCTAGAGATGTACCGGAAAGTGCATAACCTTCGGATCCTGGCCTGTGGGGGTGACGGCACGGTAGGTGCTCCTCCCGGGGCTACAGGGCCTGGGCTGAGTCTGGGGCCTTCTGAGGGACCTGATGGGCCTCCTGCTCTGCTGTCCTCAGGTTGGCTGGATTCTCTCCACCCTGGACCAGCTGCGCCTGAAACCGTCGCCCCCTGTGGCCATCCTGCCTCTGGGGACTGGCAATGACCTGGCCCGGACCCTCAACTGGGGTGGGGTAAGAGACTCCAGGTGGCGGGGCTGCTGGGACCCAGCCGTTAGGCAGAGGTGTCTTTAACCCGTCTTCAGCTGTGGCCGCTGCTGCTCAGTCTTCCTTCCTCTCACCAGGGCTATACAGATGAGCCTGTCTCTAAGATCCTCTCCCACGTAGAAGAAGGAAACGTTGTACAGCTGGACCGCTGGGACCTCCAAGCCGAGCCCAACCCTGAGGCAGGGCCTGAGGAGCGTGATGAGGGTGCCACCGACCGGGTGGGTCAGCCAGGACGGGAAGGGGTGCTCAGGGCTCAGGACCTTTCCATGCCTTGGTGTCTGGGGCTTCCGGTTCCCCGCTGCTCTCTCTCGGGTGAAACCTTGGACGAGCATCTCCATCTCTCCAGGTTTCGCTGCGTCATCCGTGTCATCCATACTGTGGGAGTAAAGGTGTTCACCTCACATGACAGCTGTTGGTCCCACCTGCACGCCTCTTCACTGAGGCCTATTCTAAGCAGTGACCAAAACAGAACCACAACCCCTGCCCAGGGGGCTCTAACCAGAGAGACCTTTTGGGGAGTCGGTTGGGCACTGGGTGCCTGTTACCTGGCACTACAGGAGGCCACACTGAGGAGCTGAGGGTGGAGCTGGATGGAGCCAGATGTGGGTGGGAAGGTAGGGGTGGTGTAGGCTAGAGCTTCCAGGTGATGGGGGGAAATGTGAAGGGGGCTGGGAGACCCCACCCTCATCTTCATTCCTGCACCTTTTCCAGCTGCCCCTTGATGTCTTCAACAACTACTTCAGCCTGGGCTTCGATGCCCACGTCACACTGGAGTTTCACGAATCGAGAGGTTGGCAGCCTTGAGGTGGCCTAGGGACACCAGGGAGGGAGTGTCCCTAAGGAGAGTCAGACTCGCCCCCAGCCATAAAGATAGTCCTTCCCAACCCTTCATCCTCATCCCACCTTGTTTCTCATCCCACCCAGAGGCCAACCCAGAGAAGTTCAACAGCCGCTTTCGGAACAAGATGTTCTATGCCGGGGTGCGCCTGGGACCTGCCAGCACTGCTCCCCTCCATCCCGTGTCTGCTGGGCTGTCCCGGGTGGTGGTGTGGGAAGGTCCCTGTCTCCACATGGTCACACCTCTGCCTCCCACAGACAGCCTTCTCTGACTTCCTGATGGGCAGTTCCAAGGACTTGGCCAAGCACATCAGTGTGGTGGTAAGCAGGGCGGGGCCGGTGGCACAGGGGCAGCAGGGAGGGGCCACCTCTGCGTGTGACCTTGTCTCCACTCTGGCCTCCAGTGTGATGGAATGGACCTGACCCCCAAGATTCAGGACTTGAAACCCCAGTGCATCGTGTTCCTGAACATCCCCAGGTGAGACGGCAGGGCCGGGGCTGGGAGCCTGCTTCTGGGTCCCACACAGGCCGACCTCTGCAGCCTCCCACTGCCGCTTCAGGTACTGTGCAGGCACCATGCCATGGGGCCACCCTGGGGAGCACCACGACTTTGAACCCCAGCGGCACGATGATGGCTACCTCGAGGTCATTGGCTTCACCATGACGTCCTTGGTGAGTGCCTGTCCCCACAGTGCCATTTTCCTGAAGATGGAACATCAGCCACACTCCCCTGTGTTGGCCAAGATAGAGGGCCCATCCTCCGTTCTCTGACCTGAGCCTCCTCTGCCGCAGGCAGCGCTGCAGGTGGGAGGACACGGCGAGCGGCTGACTCAGTGCCGTGAGGTGGTGCTCACCACGTTCAAGGCCATCCCAGTGCAGGTAGATGGCGAGCCCTGCAAGCTCACCGCCTCCCGCATCCGCATTGCCCTGCGCAACCAGGCCACCATGGTGCAAAAGGCCAAGCGGCGGAGCACCGCCCCCTTGCACAGCGAGTACGTCCCCACTCCAGCCACCATGGCTCCTGGGGAGGCCTCCCTCTCGAGCCTGTCGCTGAGCCCCACTCTTGCCCCCGCCCTTTAGCCAGCAGCCTGTGCCCGAGCAACTTCGGATCCAGGTGAGCAGAGTCAGTATGCATGACTACGAGGTCCTGCACTATGATAAGGAGCAGCTCAAGGAGGCCTGTGAGTAGGCAGCAGGATGGGGTGGTCTGCACGGAGCAGCTGCAGGGACCCTCAGGGCAGGTGGGGAGCTGTAGCCATCTGCTGACAGGCTTCCTCTTCCTTCAGCTGTGCCCCTGGGCACTGTGGTGGTCCCAGGAGACAGTGACCTGGAGCTCTGCCGTGCCCACATCGAGAGACTCCAACAGGTACTGGGTGGGCCACGCTGAAGAGATGGAGAGGAAGTGCAGCGCCTCCTCTTCCCCCCTATGGCATGTGTGCTGTGCTCCCCGCCTCCCTACACTGTGCTGTGCAACATCTCTCTCTCTCCCTCCCGGCTGCCCTTTTCCACATCTCTCTCTCTCTCCCCCTTCACTGCCTTATTCCACATCTCTCTCTCTCTCCCCCTTCACTGCCCTTTTCCACGTTTCTCTTCCTCTCCACTGCCCTATTCTATGTCTCTCCCTCTCTCTCTCTCTCTCTCCCTGGCCCCAGCCTTCTTCTCTCAGTCTCACCCTTTATTTCTCTTCTGACAGGAGCCTGATGGTGCTGGAGCCAAGTCCCTGACGTGCCAGAAACTGTCCCCCAAGTGGTGCTTCCTTGATGGTGAGTCTGTCCCCCCGGGGAGCTTGGGCTGGGGAAGCAGAGGCCCTGGGCGTGGACTAGGACTCTCTCCTTCATCCTTGGCCAACTCATTCCCCTTTCTCCACAGCAACCACTGCCAGCCGTTTCTACAGGATCGACCGGGCCCAGGTGAGCCACCGCTGTGTCCAGGGACCTGCAGGCGGCTCTCTGGGACGCTTTCCCTGTTCACCTTGTACCCCTCAGTGCACCCACGCTGCTCTGTGGCTGTAACAAGGGTGGGGCCCCACCTATCGGCCTTGATGCCCCCAGGTGCCCTGAGAGACTGTGAGCCTCAGCCCTAACCACCCCTCCCACCCACAGGAACACCTCAACTATGTGACTGAGATCGCCCAGGACGACATTTATATCCTGGACCCTGAGCTGCTGGGGGCATCAGCTCGGCCTGACCTCCCCACTCCCACCTCCCCTCTCCCCACCTCCCCCTGCTCACCCACGCCCCGGTGAGTCCCAAGGCCCTAGCTCATCCACGCCTGCCCCTTCCCTGAGCACCAGAGACACACTTCCAGCTAGCTGCCCAGCAGCCTTTCTTCTGCTGACTAAATGGTGTGGCAGTGAACCTGGCCAAAATCCATCCCGCTGGTCTTCCCCAGCTGCCAGCTCCATCCCTGACTTCTTCCTTCTTCCAGCAAGTCTTGTCAGCTTGCTCCTGCTCATCTGCCACCATCCTATCCAGGCCACCACACCCCTGCCTCCAGCTGCTGTCCCCACTACTGCCCACTCTCCCCCCAGTGGCCTAAGACACAAGGCGAGTCCCAGCGTAGAACCTTCCGTTTCCGCAGTCTGGGTCCAGCTGCCTCTGACCTCACCAGATCCCCTCCCTTGTCACCTCAGGCCAAGCCCACTCATCTCTCTGTTCTCTGAAACCTCTGAACTTTATTTACTGTTCCCTCCACCCAAAACCTTCTTCCTCCATCCTGCACAGAGTTGTCCCCCACCCCCCATTCAAATCTCAGCTCCACTTTCTCTCCTCAGAGAGCTCTGTCCTGGAACCCTATTTGAAGCTGCCACCCTCTCGCAGCCCTCCAATGACACTACCCTGGTTTGGGTCTTCACAGTATTTATTGTCTACTTGTGTGTCTCTTGCACTAGAATGTAAGCTCTGTGAGAGCAAGTCCCCAGTGTTCTGTTTACTGCTGTATCGCTAGTGCCTAGACAAGGACTGGATGTGTAGTAGGCACTCAATAAACTATTGAACAAATTAAGGCACCCCAGACTGGGGCTGGGGAGTGGGCCAGCCGGCCATGATAATATGTCCCATGTCATCCTGCTCTGTCCGCAGGTCACTGCAAGGGGATGCCGCACCCCCTAAAGGTGAGACCTGCCCTTCAGTGCTCTCTCCTCCCTCAGGTCAGAGGCGCAAGGCTCTCCGGTGGGTGGTGTGGGCCCCGACACAGCCTCTGCCTCACACAGAGGGGGCCCCATTTGTATGTGTGCTTCCTCACGTACCCCAACAGAACCAGCACACAGCGCACACACACACACACAGGGCCACCCCAGAATGTAATGGGCAGGTGTTCTGTGCAGGTGAAGAGCTGATTGAGGCTGCCAAGAGGAACGACTTCTGTAAGGTAGCAGTCCCATGGTTCCCCGCAAGCTGGAGAACAGGGCTTCCGGGTTGGGCCAAGAGCAGGTCTGTTCTGGTGCTATCCTTGTCCGGCTCTCATGGTCTCTCTGGTGACTGTCCCATTACCCTTTGCATATGGTTCTGGGCCTGTCCAGGCCATAGTAGCTCCTAGCTTGGGTCTCAGGCTAGGCCCTAAGGAGGTGTGTCCTGCTCAGCCTGCCCCTGTGCTCAGAAAGGAGGAGATCTGCCGGTAACCACAGCCCCTCCCAGGACTCAGTTGTCAGTCTCCTGGGGTGTCCACAGGCACATGGAGTGAGCTGCTCCCCCCACCCTCCGCAATCCCTGCTGACAGGAGTCCCTGAGGGAGGGACGTGTGAGGCTGGTGATGCTGCCGTGGACATGGCTCCATTCACATGTCAGTGCTGTGGCTGCAAGGAGGGGTGGCCATGTGGCACCTCAGCCTGCTCTGCCTCCCGTCTGCAGCTCCAGGCGCTGCACCAAGCTGGAGGCGACCTCATGCACCGGGATGAGCGGAGCCGAACACTTTTGCACCACGCTGTCAGCACTGGCGGCAAGGAAGTGGTCCGCTACCTGCTGGACCATGGTAAGCTGAGGCCCCGGGGTCAGGCTGGCCGGGGAGAAGAGACAGCCAGACCACTTTAACCCCCTTCCCTCTCCTATAGCCCCTGCAGAGCTGCTTGATGCTGTGGAGGAAAAGTGAGTATCTGGGCAGTGAAGGAGCTGGGTCAGCTGCTCAGAGTCCCAAACCCATTCCCTGGGTGGCCATTCCCCTTGTCCCTGCACCCCAAGCTTCTTGCTCTTCCTGATGGCCCCAGGGAGACAGCTGGGAGGGCCTAGAAATTAGCCAGGGCCACAGCCCACCTGCACTCTCCCAGCGGGGAGACCTGTCTACACCAGGCCGCAGCCCTGGGCCAGCGCACCATCTGCCACTACATCGTGGAAGCGGGGGCCTCGCTCATGAAGACGGACCAGCAGGTGAGCTGGCCAGTGGGCTAACTCCACCATTGAAGGCTGTGTGGCCTGAGGAAATTACAAGCTGTCCTCAGTCCACACCACGCAGACCCTGGGAACCGGGCATGGCTTCTTCAACAACTGTGCTGACTGCCCGCTGTCCCTCCTGCAGGGTGACACCCCCCGGCAGCGAGCTGAGAAAGCTCAGGACACGGAGCTGGCCGCCTATCTGGAGAACCGGCAGCACTACCAGATGATCCAGCGGGAGGACCAGGAGACAGCTGTGTAGCTGTGGGGACTGCACCTGCTCTGCCCGCCTCACTGCCACATTCCACTTGGACATCGCTGGGGGGACCCAGGCCCCATGAAAGGAGCCCCCTGCTGCCCCTGGGGAGCTGCCCAGGCGAAGGCTGAACTTTGAGGATCTGTGGGGGGGAGGCGGTCTTCGACTGTCCCCAAGGCTCCCAGGGGAACAGAAAATGTCTCTGCGCTGCCAGGCCTCATCCTCATCCTGAAGTCAGGGCGATGGGGATGGAGGGGGAAGAAACAGAGGGGCTGTGAGCAGTGTTCACAGAGAAGACCTTCTGGAAGTTTCTAAGCCCTTGGGCCTCTGAGGCCCCCCTCCAGGCATTGGATGGTCAGCCCCTCACCTGCCTGGACTCCATCCTCCCAGGGCCTGTTTCCAGAAACACCAAATCTGCTGCACTTGCTTGCCACCCTGCTTGGCATCTCCCTTCGGGTGACCTCCCCCCTGTAGTCAGTCCTTTCATTGGGCCTGTGTGGCCTGGCAGGGCGGAGGGAGCTCTCGGTGACATGTTTACAGCTGGGTGTGACTCAGTAAAGTGGATGTTTTTTTTTTTTTCTTTTCTGCTCTTTTTTTGGGGGTAGGGAGGTCTTCCAGGAGTGGAGTGGGGGTGGGGAGGTGGTCTCCTGAGTTTTCCTTGGGCAGAGTGGGGGTGAGGGGAGGCTCCGGTGCTGATTGGGGATAGGATCCACCGTCTGCCCAGGAACTGACCTCTGTCCAGCTTGATGGACTGGGGGCGGGGCCAGCTTCCTCTGACTTCCCGCTTCCCGCGGGGAAGATAACAATGAAAGTGAAAGAAGGGGGGTCGGCCAGAGGCCCAGGGCCTTTGGCCCATATACCCAGTGGCCTTGAGCAGCCCCCTCCCCCAAGCCTCCGATGCTATTGCTGTGTTTAGAGAGTCTGGTGGTCTCTGGGGCCTCAGGGTTGGAGGGGTCTGGAAGTTCTCAGAAGACGCTTGTTAGCTTAAGGTTTTAGGAAACCCAAGCTTTTGGGCTCCTCCCCAAGCCACTCCACGCCCAGTCTGCCGGGCACCAGCCCCCAAAAGCGCTAGCGCCCTTTGCAACCCCAATCTGGGTCTCAGACGCCAGCCCCCAGCAACAGTGAGCAGCGAACTGAGAAACGCTCGATGATAGGGCCTAGTGCTCCAACCCCACCAGCAGAGGGTCGCTGAAGGGTCCAGCAGCCCCAGGGAAAAGGAGCGGGGCTTCCACGGGGTCGGATAGCTCACGGGCTACAGGGCAGCGGGGGCTCCCTGTGCTCAGCCCTCCGTAAGCCCGAATCCAGAGCCAGGACACAGCCTGGTATCTGTGCTCCCCTAGGTGTTCTCAGAGTCTCCGAGGCGGAAAGGAAGCCTGGGAGTGAAGGTGGACCAGACTACAGGCACCCAGCGGGGATGGGAACAGCCCCAGATCAGGGAACCCCTCAGGACAAGACACAGGCCTGGGGCCCGGAGGGCACCGGCAGGACGAGGCCCGGAATGCGTGAAAGGATAGCGGGGACCGACGCGCGGGGCGGGAGCGGAGGCGGGACGTCGGGGTCGGGGGCGGTGCGGGTTTGAGGGGAGGGGGCGGGGCGGGTCCTTCCCGGTGGAGGGGGCGGGGGCCCATGTGACCGGCTCAGACCGGTTCTGGAGACAAAAGGGGCCGCTGAGGCCGGAGCGGGACTGGCCCGGCGCGGGAGGGAGCGAAGCCGCGCGGGCTGAGAGCGAGTGAGCGCTCGGGGCACCGGGAGGAGCGGGGGTCGCGGAGGCCTCGGCCCACCGGCCACTGCGAACTTGAAGGGCCGGAGGCGGGGTGGGGGTCTGAGCCACGTCCTGGACTCGAGGCATTCCCCCAGAGAGAAGCCTCCGACTGTGCGTCCGAAACTCGCGGCGAGGGACGGGTCCTCAAGTCCTCCCCACGCCGCAACCTAAATAGTCCTAGCCTTGGGGCCTGGAGGACGGGGGTGGAAGGTCCATACACGCGGCCTCCTTTGGGGAAGGGAACGGGGTGGGGTGCTCTGACCCGAGCCCTTTCCCTCCAGGATGCAGCACCGAGCCTTCTTCCTCTTCGCCGCCCTCTTCCTATTGGCACTCACTTCCACGGTGGCCAAAAAGAAAGGTGATGTTTGTGTGCGGGCTTGGTGTGGGTGGTAGGAGGGCTGGGGGCACCCCCGGACTGGCCGTCTGAGTTGCGGAAGCCGAGTTTAAGGCTTCCCACTACCCCGGGTCCTGAACTCTGTTCCGCGCGCTCATTGCAGTCAAGGTGAAGAAGGGCGGCCCGGGGAGTGACTGCGCCGAGTGGACCTGGGGGCCCTGCACCCCCAGCAGCAAGGACTGCGGGGTGGGTTTCCGCGAGGGCACCTGCGGGGCCCAGACTCAGCGCATCCGGTGCAGAGTGCCCTGCAACTGGAAGAAGGAGTTTGGAGGTGAGGTGGGGCACTAGCGGAAAGGGGGACCCGGGCGCTTTGAAACCTGCGGAGACTGCGGAGTGGTGGGGGAGGCCGTAGGCTGCCCAGCTCCTGAGCCCAGCATTCCTCCAACAGCCGACTGCAAGTACAAGTTTGAGAGCTGGGGTGCCTGTGATGGGGGTACAGGCACCAAGGCCCGCCAAGGCACCCTGAAGAAAGCACGATATAATGCTCAGTGCCAGGAGACCATCCTCGTGATGAAACCGTGCACTCCCAAGACCAAAGCTAAGGCCAAAGGTCAGCAAAGGGGGATAGGGTCTCTGCAGGGGGCTGTGAGGGGGAATGGGGAAGCCTGAAATTTGGAGTCCTGAGTCCTGGCAGTGGTCTCTGGACTCAGTTTCCCTATCCGTGAAGGAATCCTAAGAGACAGGTCACATACAAGAGGGGGCCCACAAAAGAGGTTCGGGAAATATTTAGCCTTCACTGGCCCAAATGGGGACAAACTCCAGGTGTTCCTGTGAAGTGCTTAGGATCCAGGGAAATTGCCCTGGAAGGGCTTAGCTTGGTCCTCTCTCCAGCTGGAGGAAGCGGTTAATCAGATGGAACCTTTTTCAGCTACATGCCTTCCCTCCCATAGCTTATTCCTGACTCACAGCAGCAGAGCTCAGCCAGCCTGAGGGCAGGGGTGAACCAGCTGCTTTTCAGGTGATTGGTTCAAGGTTTGATCCCAAGTGAAGATTTAGATTGTAGCGGATGAAGGGGTGTTGGGCATCAGAATGGCTGCCCTATCCCACCAGCTTCAGAGTCAGCTTATCCAGAGCCACTGCGGGAGCGGGGAGCAGAATTTCCTTCTCTCTACCAGGTGTGTGTGTGTGTGTGTGCAGTGAAGTCTCTGCTAGGTTACCCTAACTCCATTAACGAGGTCTATCATTCTTGTTTTACAGCCAAGAAAGGGAAGGGAAAGGACTAGGGGCCAAGCCTGGATGCAAGGAGCCCACTGGCTTCACTCTCCCACAGGCCCAAGATATAACCCAACTGTGCCTTTTTCCCTACTCCTTAGCTTCATCAATCACACCTTGCCTCTTCCCCTGCACTCCCCTGCCCCCAACCCCCAAGCAACCAAAGTGGAGAGAGATGGGAGAATTCTGGGAAGCCGGTGGTATTTGATCTCTCTGTCCCCCCCACCATCCCCTGATCCTTTGTGCTTTCTCACAATGATGCTATTATTAAGAAACAAATAAATGGGTTTTTTTCCCCAATAAAAGCTTTTCTTTTTTAATATATAAAAGTCCCTTCCCAGGGCATTTGCTGGGGATGGAGAAATGGGAAGAAAGACCAGGCTGAAGGAATCAGTGGCTTTAAATTTAAAGGACTAGGGGCATGGCGGTGAATGATCCCCAGAGCTCATGGAAACAGCAGAAGGTTTATGAACATGTCTCCCAGCTCCCCTTATTGAACTTTAAACCAATCAACACCCTGCCCCCAGTCCCCTAAGCCTTTTAGCCCTCAACTCTCTCAGGGGCCACTTCAGGGCTAGGGGACTGAACCCGAAGACAAACCAGCATTGACTCACCCATCCCAGCCCCACCCAGTCAAAGGTCTTTTGGTCCAACCCACTGCCAATCAGGAAGGTCCTACTGGCTGGGAAGGTCCTATCCCACAGTGTCACTAAGGCTAATCCCTTGGGACTTACACCTCCCTGGAACTCTGTAGAAGCCAGAGGTATGAAGAGCTCAGTGGGGACCCTGCCCACCACAGCGCCACCCAGACTCCATATGTGATCTAGACAAACCATCTTCCTGGGGTGGGAGGTGTATCTGGGGCCCCAGGGACCTAGACCTGGTTCCTGAGTGTGAACACCCGACCTCCCAGCTGCCCCCCTCCTGTACTCCTCAAACCAGAGCCTGGCTGAAGGCTGCAAGAAGGGGACATTTCTGGCCCTGGAGTGGACTTGAGGGGAAGGGGCTGAGCCTGCATGCGGGGTTCAGGTGGCAGAAAGCACCAATTACAGCAGAATGGAGGTCCTCGTCCTTCCACCCCATTCTTGAGCCTCCATTCCTAAGGACTGGCCCCTCTGCTCCTAAGGGGGATTCTTGGCTTCTGCTCCCTTCCAGATGTCAATTTTTGCTGATGGCAACAGTGGGCCAGGTGTGCCCACCCAGGCCAGTCCCCCTAGCTCCCTGAGGCAGGGCAGCAGAGCTATGGGCCAGGGAGTCCTGGTTTACACACTCCCTGGGACTGGGCCTCCTCAGCCTGAGCCAGAGAGCAGTTCTCTGAATCCAGCCAGAACCTCCTCCTGAACCTGGGTCCTCGAGACTTCAGTTCTCCTCTTCAGCAGAGCATGGTACCCCAAATCTCTCTACCACAGCAGGTGAGCCATGAAGTCCCCGAGTACATGACTGCCTGCCTACCTGGCGGTGCCGATATTCCGGTACTGGCAGAGCAGCAGGTGCCGGAAGGTCTTTTTAAAGGTGGCGTTGCAGAGGGCGTAGCAGGCAGGGTTGATGGTACTGTTGACGTAACAGAGCCAGTAGCCAATGGACCACACCGTATCAGGGATACAGCTCTGGCAGAAGGTGTTCACCAGGACCATGACG